GCCAGACTACATACAAACGATACATATACACAGAAAGAAGAAAAAATCTGGTACGCGCAACACAAAACTTTTACTTACCGCTCTGCTTTGAATTATTTTTCGGCAATTTTGGGCTAGTACAAAGTTTTTGAAGTGCATTTTTAACGGAACTAAACCTTGAATCTTACAGCTAACTTGTAACAATTCATTATGGCCATTAAAATAACACAACCACGATCCAGTACATCCACAGTAAACCACATAACTCACAGTCTCTGCCTAGAACGATTTGAAAGTATTCTGTATATTTAACTTATAAATGACTATGGATAGCTCTACTATTAGTTTTTAAACTCTTATTTTTCCATTGTAAAATTTACTTTAATGGAATTACGAGAAGTTGTGACACTAATTGTAAGTGGATAATGTGATTTTACAGGAAATTCTTTAAATTATTAACTAATTTAATTTTCGAAAATGTTACATGATTTTCAGGAAAAACCAACGATAGATACTTAATTATTTATTCAAATATAATATCGGATCTAAAGTCATTAAACGATAAATGTATTTAAGCTTATAAACATATGTTTTACACATCCGTGAAATATTTTTATATTTCACTTTCTCGTTCACACAAGTACAATAAAATAGTTTTTGAAACAATGTCATAGTCTTGGTTCAGTAGATTTTATATGCTTGTTGTTATTTAGGGCTTAGAAGCGTAAAATCCCAAAGTCATCAACCCCTTTTTAATTATCATTTCAATAATAAATTATTGGTTGGATCCATAAGTTCGTTCGGCTTTTGTTAGTAGAGCGAATTGTTTTCAAATATCACCAGTTCTCTTTGCCTTTTCTTACAATAATGATACTTATCGGCAAGGTCAAATGATTAAGTGCATTTTCGGCATACTTTGCTTTTTTATTTTAAAGCTTCGGAGACCCACCGAAAGATATGTAAAGTAAAGGGGAACGATACATTAACAGAATGTGGCCAAAAACCAGATGGATAGACAGGATGAACAAAGATACTGCTAAGCTACATGCCGTAAACTGAAAAGCAGCAGCCCAAAATAGGCAGAGGTGGAGAAGGCTGGTTCAGACGGCCAAAGATCTTAAGGTCTGCAGAGCCAACCGAAAAAAAAATATATATACCAATATGGTTATTACCAAATACCGCAAAATGGTCTGGTGTGTGTGAACTAGCTCGAACCGAAAAATCGTACGAAATTGAAAATGCATAAGTTAAGTATATGCCTGACATGTTACAGCAACTTTTTCGTCAATATTGCCTAACCGGAAGTGCAATTTTATATCATCGATTTTACACATGTTTACAATTTTATCAAAAATGGCTCAAACAATTTTGATTAAACTCGGTGTATCAATGTATAATTAAGTAACCTTTAATATAATTTAGGTCTTATCCCTATTGATGTCACTTCTTCTTATTCGGCGTTACGACCCATTATTTGAGTTATAGGCTGATCTAGCTTAGACCGCCAGTCCTCCCTGTTCCGTGCTGCTGCCTTCCAGTTCATAACACAGAGCAGAGATCTCGCGTCTGCAGCCACGCCGTCTTCCCAGCGAAGCCTGGGGCGTCCAACCCGCTTGGTACTATACATTTGCCCAGCTAAGATCTTGTAAAGAACTTCTTTTGGATCCATACTTAGAAGAGAATAGAATAGAAAAATAACTTTATTCTGGGACACAGTCCCTTGAGAATAACAAAATAGAACAAAATTAAAATATTACATCTGGCCAAAATAAAATCAATCGAAAAAAATAAATAATGTAAAAAAAATATAAGGTAAAAATTCTATATACAAAACAAACTAAATACAAAACCATTAATACTATGACAAGACACTTAAAGCTATTTGCACTTATAGACCAGTATACACTTTTAAGAAAATAATAAAGAATTAAAAAATAAAAATGTATCAAATTATCTATTAAAATCAGCTCGAATGGTTAGCAACTATCTGACTGTTTTTGGGGTAGGAATTGGAATAGGAGGGTTTTTAATGTGGATATGGATGGGGAATGTCGAATTTTGATAGGGAGGGAATTCCAGAAATTGACAGAGCGAACAATAAAGGAATTTTGGAATGAGGCAGATCTATGAGAAGGCATGTAAAGGTTAGAAGGTCGAGATCTTGTGGACAGGGAATGGACTGAGGATTTGAACTGGAGAAGGTTGTAGGCGTAAGAAGGACGATGGTTGTTGATGATTTGGTAGAGGAACGTACCTAGGAAATATTGTCTTCGAAAGGAGGGGAAAAGCCACTTTAACTCAGCATAGTGAAGAGAAACATGGGAGAAGTTGGTTGGACTTTTCAAGGAAGTTGGAGACTTGGGATTGCACCAATCTTTCTAGGGGTTTTGAGAGGTTGGAAAGAATTGAGATTGGGCGGAAATCTTCGGGTGAGGTCGGATTAGAATTTTTATTCAAAGGAAGGACAATGGCTTTTTTCCAAGATGTAGGGAATACTGAATTCTGAAGGGAGAAATTGTAAATGAAAAGAAGAACTGGGAGGATTTCAGGAAAACATAATTTTATTAATTTGAGTGGGATGCCATCGGGTCCTAAGGAATTGGTGTGGGATTTCATAACAGCGGTTAAAAGGTCTGTGGGAGAAATGTCGGAAAAATAAAAGTTATTGTCGTCAAATGGTATCTCTATAGGAAAGCCGGAAAAGGAGGATAAAGGAGAGGTATTAGCAACAGATATAAAATGCGAGTTTAGATCATCAGGGGATATTGGAAAGGCTGCTGTAGGGGATCTGGAAGGATCACAAAGGGAGAGTTTACGAAGCAGTCGCCATTTTGATTTTATGTCAGGAGTTGAGGAAAGGGCTTCGTGGAAGTAGAGGGATTTCGCACGCCGGATCCTTGTCCGGATCCACGTATACTTATGACGTGACCAGCCCAGCGAAGTCTTGATACCTTTACGAATGTTGATACGTCTATTTCTTTGTACCTCACTCTTAACTCAGCATTCGTTCTTCTTCTCACCTCCACCTTCGCACCACCTTCATATATACGGCGAAGCACTTTTCTTTCGAAACGGAGAAGGGGATGCTCAAGGGCTATAGTTGTAGTCCAACATTCTGAGCCATAAAGAACTGGTCGTATAATTGTCTTATAAATTCTCACTTTCGAGGCCTTCGACAACACACTACTTCTCAAAAGTTTATGGACGGAGAAATAGGTGCAGTTTGCGGAGAGGATCCAAAAATGGATCTGGGATCCTAGGAATATGAATGATTCCACTCTTTCAAATCTATGGCAACCTATCGAGACATGACCCCCATAAACACAATTGCCTAATTTATAATTGATAAACACAAATAAAAAAATTTAAAAATAATAATTTTTCACGTAAGGTGGTTATGAAATTGAATTTTTCTCCCAGATTTCTGTCATAGGAATTGATGTGTATTTATAAGTTAAAATGTAGTCTAGTTTACTTAAATTAAATATTTCTTTAGTTATCCCCTACTATTTAACAAAAAACACGACTTACATAAAGGAACGCATAACTTGGATTTCCTACTTTTCTGCTGAAAATTGGCCCATTGTTTTTATGCACTTTTTTGTAGTTCTTGAGATCCGCTATCACTGCTATAAAAATTTCCCGAGGTATTTGAATTTGTCTACTTTCGGGAACGATTTCCCTTCTATGGTGATCCTGTTCTTGGGGTAGTATTTTCGGCTTTATCATATCATATATTTTGTTATATCTTCAGTTACTTGAAGGCTGATTTGCTATGCTTCTCTTATCAGAGTCTTAGCGAGTTTCTCAACGTCCTCTTAATGCTTCCAAAGACTGCTGTAACATACGCGTATCCAAAGATTTTATGCTTTGTTCCGACGTGCACACCTCCATTTTCACGTAATGTGGTTCTTATCACCTTCTCCAGCGCTAAGTTATACAATATCAGCGAAAATCTCGTTATTGTTTGTTCATGTCTAGCAACCATTTCAAAATAACAAATTCTAGTTGAACAATATCGGTGAGAGTCCATATCCTAGATGTGCACAATGAACAGTGGAGTGGCAGACTCTGTATTCGGACCGATGACATCGTTCATCAAGTGTACCAAAAACTTATGATCGGCGATTAAATTAGGGTCATTTGTATACGCCTTCACCAACTTCCTGGGAACCTCCAGTTCAGTCATGTTTTTTCCAAATACCGTTCCTGTGCACGGAGTCGTAGGCTACTTTGAAATCGACAAATAAGGCGTGGACATCCTAGACTACTTCCTATCGTTTTTTTGAGTACTTGTTTTTACATGGTCTTCATTAAAATTAATTAACAAATTTCGAAGATTGTTTCTGAAAAACCTTATCTTCTATCACTTGAAATATTTTTTTAAATAAAAGAGTTATCGTTCTGTATCAGTAGATGTGGTGGGTAAAAAGTTACCAATATTCACCTCAAATTATCGACCTGAAAAGTTTAAATTTAAAGTAGTTGGAAAAAATAAAATAAATCTGTACCGCATATATACATCACAATTTGTTTTTTTAGTTAATATAATATTTTAGCCAGAAAATATTTTGACAAAATGTTTACGTAAGTATTATATGTACTCTAAATGACAATTTTTTTTTTTTTTTTTTTTTTATGGCCACTCTATTCAAAATAACTATTTAATGGGATAAATTTTCCCAAAATTTTCAGGTGAAATGTATCTGAATCTCCCAACCACGATGATTAAGTTGGATAATCCGATTAAAATTGTAACTAAATTTAAGATTTCCACTTGCCACTTAATTTTTGTAGCAAGTGTTCAGTTTTTAATTTATAATCTAAATATGTTCATAATATGACAAAACATTAAACATTAATATTTATGTAATTAAAATTTTACTTGGTGATGAATATCAATTGAATTAGTTTTTGAATAAGTTTGTAATGAATAACATAATTATAATAAAATTAATTTATTGAAATAAATATGAGGGTTAAAATTGGTTCCAAAACAAACTCTTACAATTATGTTTCAGTTAGTCACAATAGTTGGCAACCCCTCCTCAGATTCACTAATTATATTAGATGAGGTTGGGAAAGGAACAACAGAATCAGAAGGAGTGGCGATATTGGCTGGATGTTTAAATTATTTTTTTTCTCAAGGTGAAAGTTCCCCCCATATTATTATATCAACGCACTTAGATTCCATAAAGGATTACCTTAACAAAGACTTATTTCTGGCTACACATGTAAGTATTTTATTATTATTTACTAAAGTTGATTATCTTAATTACTCATGTTTAAACGTATAAACGAACTAAAAGCTCTATAACATAAGTATATTCTGTAATTATAATCATATAAGTACAGTTCACAGGTGGATCTACTCCACCAAAATGGTAAAGTACAACCATGTTTTATGAACAAAATTATCTCTAAAAGTATTATTGTTCGTCTAATTGTATTTAATAGGACTTAAAGAATCACTTAAACACCATTTTATATAGTTAGTTAGTTTCTTTCTTTCTTCCGAAGTAATTATCCTTATATGTACATCTAAAAAAAAATCTTTCGGGCTGAAGCCTCTCCCAAAATTAAATTCTGGTTCCATTAGTGGTACAGTTTGAGAGTATAGTCTGAGTTATGAATATTTTAGTCACTGATTCAGTTAATGATTAATGAGTACAAAAGTACTGAACTCTTAATCCAGTCAACGAAGCGGTTGTGTGTTCTATATAGGTAGATTTGAATGTGGGCATTTCTAGGGTTACTTAAAAGTTAAACATACTAAAAATGCTTGTCTCTATCCTTGCCACTTCATATTAAGGACGCTGTAAAGGTCCATTTTCCGGTTTTTCACTAGTATTTCGAAAACTGTGTGTCATAAAAAAAATTGTTCTAGCCAAAATTAAAGTTGATAAAATTTCCTTTCAGAATCTATCTCTCCCTCTCCCTCTCCCTCTCCCCCCCTCCCCCTCTCTCACTCCCTCTCCCTCTCCCTCTCCCCCCTCCCCCTCTCTCACTCCCTCTCCCTCTCCTTCTCTATGACATTATTCCAAAGGATTCAAGAAAGTGACAATTCACCAAAAACACAATATTTACTTTTTTGCTTTAAAATCCTGCTTTGTCCTACCAAAAATGTTAATACATAAAATAATATTTTTATTTATTTAAAATTAGCTAGTATCACAAAGTCAAACATAATATTTTAAACAGACTGTTCACTAAACTCCCCTTTTTTTATAACAGGAAATGGACTATGTTTTGGATGGTGTAGAATTTTCTTTTCTTTACACTGTAAAGCAAGGTGGAGTCCCATCTCATGATAAAGACATTAGCCTATTTTCTCTTGATGTTCCACATAACCTGGCGATAGCGGCAAAAGAGGTGAATTTCTATTCTCAGAATATATGAATAAATTAATATAAAAATTAAATAAACCCATCTTTTTCTTTTTCCGAATAGCAATGATTATAGCGCGGTAATTAGAGAATCTAGAGAATCAATTTGTAGAAACATGTGTCCTTTTGTATTATTTCAAGTAAGTTTTGTATTATTAGGCTCAGTCCTTCGAACCTGCTCCCTTCCCTTCCATAACCTTGGAACCTCAGTCCCTGAGGGAAAAGTCATTTGAAGATTGGAGCAAATGTGAGTGGCAGGGAATAGGTGTCTTATTTCAAGACAAACCAATGGGCTAACAAATTCATGTATGACAGAAAAATTCTTACTGTCTCAGAGTGGACAAATGCTTTGAAGGAGAAGGGGTTCCAGGGACCTGAAGGCAGACGAATGGAGATACTGGATCCCTCTACCGAGAATTAGAAACCCCAGCACATGTATTGGTCAAATGTACAAATAACATGCTCCTTGTTGCCTGCCAGTACAATAATATAAAGTATCGAATATCCAAATTCCTGATGACGAAAAATTATAGATGCTTCCTTGAAGTTTATGTCTGGATACGGAAGGCTCAGCAAGATTCATAGACTTCTTGGCCTTTACTGCAAAATGAAGGGAGGCTCCTATAGTTGATCCTACAATTAGACATGAGACGAAAGATGAGCAGCAAGATCTCCAGATACAAATTGAGAAGGATGAAATATATAAAAAATACATTCCGTACCTAAAAGAGAAATTTTTCATTAAGAGGACTTTGGTTTGGAAGTAGAGAGGCATTTCCTCTTTCAACTGCTAGTTTTTTGGAAAAGATAGGTGTTGAAAGGAATGAGATAGAGTATGGCGGAGTCCATTATTTTGGACTCACTGAGAATCCTGCACCATTATCTCTATTAAATCTGATCATCACTTTATGGATCTGGGTGGCAGAATTGAGAAGAATGAATTGTTAGATATTCTCAATCAGATGGATTAGTATGCTGTGTCAGCAACTCAACACAGTTAAGCAGCATTTTTGTATTGTCTAATACTGCCACAAAAGGAGCACAACAAAAAATAATCTTGTTTTTTTTTTTTTAATTCCTGTACATTTCCCTATTTAAACTAGCGCTGTTACAGGATGGGATGAAATACTAATCTAAATACCATAAGCAATACTAGTAGAAATACTGGTTTACCCCACACCTATTATATTTGAAAATTGGTAACAGGTCCAAAGTTCAGTTAGCACATACCAATGACAAAATAACGGGTCCAGTGTTTATGAACTGCCTATACATTGGACTAACGTTGAATGCACTCATCTAGCTTTGCCATTCCGTGAACAGAGTGATAATGTGTTATTGTAACTCATCAATCATATTGGAGTGAAACTTGTGCAGTAGTACTGCATCCTATACAAAATTCACGAGTCAATCATATAATTAAAGAAGAAATTCAAAACAACAAATAAAGATATAAATATGCAAAATGTTTTACTGTGTTGATAATTTATATTTAATCATTAAACAGTGTATCAATAATATGGGGTAAGTTCCTAAACTCAGCATTAATCCATTGATGTATTTCTAAAGTTCACCAATGATCTCAGCGATGAGTTTATGAACTTGGCCACTACTACATCAATGAATTTATGAATGGTCTAATGGATTTCTAATGTTCCTCAGTGATCTCAGAGCTGAGTTTAGGAACTTGTTCATGATGCATACCAATCTGGATAACAAGTCAAAATTATGGTATATTCATTTACAGGTATTGAAATCAATAAGGAAAGGCAAAAACGTTATACCTTCCACAAAAATAAGGAAACAACAAACTGAAAGGTAAAATGAAATTAAAAACCAATCACTTTAAATCCATTTCTTATCTTTAATACATTAAAAATATACAAAACTAATAAATGTTAACTTTAATAAATAATACATGTTTTAGAATTTGCCAATATCTTCAGAAACTAGCAAGGATTCATCCAATAAGTAAAAGTTCTATGCATGCATTACAGCATAGTATAAACTCTTTTCTGTAATTATATACTCTGATTATGTTAGTCAAATTACAAATGATAAATGGAATCAGTGTACAACAAGAAAGTTAACTTTAATAAATGTTACGAAAAGGAAAAAAAAATGTAGAGAAAGATAGTATATAAAAATGAAAAATTATTAACCACAAAGAAATATTTCAATATTACAAATGAATCTATGGCCAAACAGTAAATATTAATTCAAATACGTTTCGGATAAATGGGAAAAAAAAATGTAATGCCAGGACCAAACTTCTACAAGGTAATAATGATCACAACGATATTTATTAAGAAAAATAATTTATTTTTAACAATAAAAATATTACAAAATATGAACCTCTTCTTATTTTTATACTTCAATAAATACACAGATAATAAGTGAGTTGATTCATCACACATATTCTGAAATAAATCAACACAATACTGATTTTCAATAATAATAGATACTATAGAATATAAAATTCTTCAAAAATTAAAATTAATTCAATTATTCATAAAACAAAACTACCACTTTAAAACACAAACATAAGAAAAAAGTTCAGAATAAAAAGAATATAAACCAAAAGGATTTCTCCTCATTTAAATTAAATTAAATTAAATACCAAACTAATTTCTGTTCTTTCTATATGTATATTATTTTTTGTACTAACAGCAAAAACACAAAATATTTGTTTATTAAATATTTTAAAAAATAGTAAAACAAAGACCTGATTAATAAGTATTTTCTTCATTTGATAGAACTTTTTTGTATCACTTCCGAGCCCAAAATGGCTTAATAATTACAGATACAACTTTTTTGAGGGACCAACAGAACTCAAAAAAATTCTCAATTTCCGAGAAAAATTTTCACTCTTTCGAACTATGAAGAAAATTTTCATTATCTATTTTGGTTACATTTTTTTTACTGTTTTCAGCAGTTTCATAGAGGGTTCTGATGGTGGCTTAGGGCTAAATTTTAAGGTTAGCATTACATTGCAGTAAAAACATCAAAGTTTGTATGAATGTACCTTAGGTTATGCTAATTAATGTTAGCTTAGGATTCCTCTGAAGTTTTAGACAATTTTCATGTATGGCACTGAAATCCAAAATGACCGACCAAATTTTACTGTTTATTTTTTTAATTACAGCGGTAGATCAATTCAGCAGACTACAAAAGTAACTTGGGGTACTCCATATATTAAATATATTGAAAAAAGGAGGGCAGCGAAAAAAAAAGTTTATTCAAAGTATTGATAAATTTCTGTACATTCCCTATTTTCTCCCTGTATATGAGAAATTCATATGAAATTCCAGGTTTTGTAGAAATCCCCATACCCTGGACACACCAGGGGCATATTTTTATATGAACTCGGAAGGTACAAGGACAGGTTTACTTGCCAGACTTGATCTCCCCTCCCTCCATTACCAGTAACATTACTAATTCAAAGAGACAAATATTTGAAAATAGTGATTACTATTAAAACCAACATGTGTAAAGAAATAATAGAGTGTATTAGTTAAATATATATATATATATATATATATATATATATATATATATATATATATATATATATATATATATATATATATATATATATATATATATAAAATCAAAACTGTGTATCTGCTTAATATCAAATTGAAAATAGTACAATGATATTATAATTCTTGCTTAGGAAAATAATCAGGATAAAATATATTGAATGCTATAAAAGCAACAATAACAAGCACAAACACAATTACAGCAATTAATGATATTTTTTTCTCCCAGGAATGAACCTCCAAATTACGAAGAATATATAGTCCAACAAGCAGTCCTGAAAGACCCCCAGCTAAATGAGCAGTATATCCAATCTATAAAAAATATATACACTTATGAATGTTGGTGGTAAAATAATATCTAAATCTTATAATCAAAACTATAGACTGATAAGGATAACTTTTATAATACAATACACAAAAAGAGACCAATTCTTAACATTAAACATAAAAATTATAACTGAATAATGAGCCATTGTTTAACACAGATAACAATTTGTTCACAATAACGTACAGTCGAATATCAATGATTTTTAAAGGAAGGAAATAGTCCGGGGTGGCAGTCATAAATAGGCTAAATAGTGGCAAAACTATTTTATTGGCTTTTAATAACGGCCAACTATTAAATATTCAATATCATCAATGATTTTTAATAACATAATTGTTTTATGATCACAAAGGAAAACCTTATTCGGAAATAAAAATAAGAAGACAACTCAAAATAGTTTTAGGAGAAGTTTTACTTGTTCAAATCAAATAAATTAACTATAATAATAATAAAAGGCTTAGCGAATCCGAAGGTTCGATGCCGACACCACCAATCGCTGTCTACTCACTTCCCTCTACCGGTCGCTGTCCAAACCCAGTCCCTTCAGATCAGCCTTAACACAATCTTCCCATCTTCTCTTCGGTCTACCCCTCAGACGTTTACCAGTCGGCACAGCAAATATTAATCTTCTAGGAATTCATTCATTACTAAGTCCAACAATTTTACAAGCCCATTTTATTCACCACAATGTAATCACCTCAATTATATTTACCAGACACAATTCACGCAATTCGGTGTTGTGTAACTGTCTGAAATCTCTGGTTAACTCATCCGTCTTCGGTCTGAATATTCTATGCAATACTTTATTTTCAAAAACCTTAAGACGTTGCTCATTCCTTGATATGAGTGGCCATGTTTCGCATCCACCAAGAACCTGAGATAGGATGATGGTTTTATAGATTCTAATTTTTAAGTTCCTGGATAGGAGGCGCGAGCTAAGTGATTTTGTAACAGAAAAGTAACAAGTATTTCCCGCCTTCAACCTAACCTTAATCTCCTCTTCAATTTTGTTTTTACTAATTATCGCAGACCCTATATTTCTAAACTTTTCTACGTATTCAAATATATTACCTTCTATATCAATATCACTGGAATTATCGCCAATTTTGCAGCTTACATTATATTTTGTCATATCCATTTTTATTTTGAACCCTATTTCCTTACCGGCTTTTATTGACGTTATCGTATTTACCTATATTGTGCTCAGGTATGGAGTCTCTGATACATAGACCTCTTAGAAAAGGTCAACATAAATTTTTATAAAAAGACATTTTCTCTTAGTAAATCCACCCCAGACTTTTTAATACGTTTAAAAACAGGTTCTATTCATATTGGTTTCGATGTTATAAGGTATTTCTTGAATTGGTTGGTTAGGCTTGTGGAAATGGAGGAATGTAGATATCCTAAAATATATTTTGAAAAGCTAAGAACCAAATGCTACCAATCTAATTCTGTTCTTTTGAAATATGATTGGTGTGCTCAGCTGAAAGTATTATTAGATACTATAGAGGAAGGCAATTAAGTTTATGAAACTGACCCAGTCATAATTAGAGCTAATATTAACAGGATATTAAACAAATATAAACAACATTTACAGGAAGGTGACAAGAAAGCATTGCATAGTTCAGCTTACAGTGAACATTTGAACCTTTTTTTAACAATAGTAGGATCTCCCAGTACCTGCTAATGCCGGCTAATTTCAAATATACCAGAGTATTAATACAGATCTGCCTCTTGGAAAAATACTTGATTAAAATTTCAGTCAACAATCAAATTTTAAAAATCACTCCACAACTTGATTGCAAAATGTGCAATACAATAGAAAAAGAAACACTTTATCATCTATTATTTAAATGCCCAATATATACTAACTTGGAGATTAAGAACTTACCAAGGTATGAGAAATCTTAATGGGATCGAAATATTCAAGCCAACTACTATAGAAGATATGAAAAAAATATATTTTTTCATCTCTAATATATGTAATTACCGCCAATCAAATGCGACGCACTGGTGGTACGTACCGGTATGAACGTGTTAAAGCACATAAAGTGTGGTAACTGAGATTTTAGGTGAGAGACAGCAGAAAAAGAAGAAACAACTGGTATGACAAGGAATGTGAAAAAGCAACCAAAGAAAGAAATGATGACAGTCAAAGCAGAGAGCTATAAAAGAAAATGAGTGGGGGCGAGAAAACTATGTAGGAGAAAAAATAGGGTTAATGAGAGAGAAAAACTAGAGAAGATACAAGAAGAATTTGATAAAAATAACAATAGGAAGTTTTACCGGAGGGGAGGTGATAGGCGGAGTCAAAGATATAAAGGCAGGATATGCACCGTAACCAGTATTTTATAAGGATGAAGTAGGAACGTTATTGAATTCAAATAGGATAGAAGATGATAGAATAGTTCTACGGGATCAGCAGGAAGAATGGAATGCAGGGGAATACAATGATGATAAAGAAGAAGTAACACCAGGAAAGGAAGAAATACTGGAAATCATTGCTTCATTGCCAAGTCAAAGGGCCCCAGGTACTGACGAGATACCAGCTGAGTTTAGTTTTATTATCTATTCCTAATTTATTTTGTCTTTTTGCATAGGTGAGGCTAATGCCATAGCTGGGTTCTGGAGACAAAGGGATCTGTCCTGAGCACTTACTAGCAAAGCAATCCACCTTCTCATTTCCTAAAATCCCTGAATAACCAGGCACCCACTCAACTCTCACCTTATTGGTTCCATAGAGAATGTTTAAATTAGATTTAGACTGGGTTGCATAGCCAATTAAGGCACCAATAGTCACTTGGCAATCCATATATATCCTGTTCCTTACAGTTATTAGCAGTTAATAATAATAATATGAGGCAAATAATATATAACTGCCTAAAAATATGGAAATCCAGTCCCAGGGTGTGTTCATTTTTCATAAGCCAACCCCTGAACCTTGCTCTGTAAGAGATCCATCAGTATAACAGTTAACTCCATTACATGGTCTGTTTGAGTTAGTCCTGCCAATTCTTACACAACAGTATGCATTTTTATATTCCTTAATTTAAGATATGAGAGCATTAACTTATCCTCTTAGTAAACACGAAAATCAAAAAACAATTTTTAAAGATAATGATATAAAAAGATGATATTTTTTCAACATGTCATTTTAATCATATATTCAATCTTCAGAATATTATTTGTAGTATTTAAAAATAACATGTCATGCCTCTAAAATCTTGTAAGTCTATTGAAACAAATTTCACACAAGGAAAATTTTTTTTAAACAAACAAAAACTATTCTATTGAAGAATAGTAAAAATTTGATAACTTTTTTTTGTGTATTGAGAAATCCTTGACACCGTTAAAAACAACACCAAACATTAATAACATAAAAATAAATAAGTGAGCATTAGTATTTTATTGGATTGAACTTATATAGTTTTAGAAGTAAACCCTCGATAACTAAAATAATAAATAAATACAGACTTTATAAATAATAAATTATAACTATATTTCGGTGAAATAGAACTTGTGTAGCAAGTCTTATCTTAAGGTTGGTAAAAAAAAAACTACTCATAAAAAATATAATATTCCTTAGATGATTTAATTAATGAAACAGAAATATTAAAATATTACCTTGTCATCAACATTCATATATCGATTGTATATGGCTGAACCAACATCGGTAACAGTGAGCAAAAGAAAAACCAACAATTGAAAAAAAGCAAACTGCATTTCAGACCAATTCTGTAACAAATAATTAATCAATGATAATTGAAATACACCAAAAGATTTTCCTAATTAATACAATAATAGTTAATACTTAAAGGTATAAATATTACTTTAAATATAATTTAACTGTTCAATAATATTTTTTATTGAGTGATACATGATATATCTCAGTTAATTTTTAGCAATGACTAAACAATGAGAATATAAAAAATCATCTAAAATTGGTTATAGACTTGTTTCTAATCTTTACCGTTAACCCTCAGAGTACCACAGATCTCAAGGAATGCCAGGTGCCATGAGGGAACATTTGTAACCCAACTGTTTCCTTAACAGCAACTTCGCAGTATTTAATAGGAAGTTAAAATTTGATACCTTCAAATTTTGGAGTGCTGATAGCCCAAAAGCCGAGATCATTTATTTTCTTTTTTGAAGCCAATTTTTATTGATACACTGTTATAATATCCAGAATTTAATTTGCCTTAGTCTGCCAACTCAAAGCCCATAGGTTTCAAAATAGCATTCTTCAAGTCAACATGAAACTTTTCACCCCCAGATGCCAAAAAACTGTTGTCTGCAGAAGTTGGGAGAGAGTATCTTGCCAGACAAATTTCTAATCCAACTTTTTTTCTCTTAATAGTTCACTTAAAGTAAGGCCCCTTTCAAACCAAAGATGCATGCATCCTGGATGTAGGATGCATGTGCGTCTTTCATCCTGATGAAAGGGCTTTCACACCAAAGATACATGTGCCTCTTACACATTCTGTTTATATCCATTGTCTTTGTTTAGTTTAGTACGTGAGTTTGAAATATGAATAATCAATCATCCTACTCTTTGTAAAGTTAATTGGTTTGTGCCGGTAGTTCATAATTTTTTGTTGAAGTTTTACCAACTTTTTACTGTCATTCTGTTTACTTAGAAAAAATATGATCATGTATAAAACCTGTTTTACTTCAAATCTTTTTCCTTTTTTGTTAGCCAAGGTATTAAGTATCCTTTTTAGGATTCATTGTTAAAGAGAAATTCTTATTAATTTTAATCAGCCATGATCCACTTAAAGGTAGTTAAAAAATATTTAAATTTTTTTATATGTATAAATGTCCAAACAATTTCTAGGTATGTACTAATATCTCCTATAACTGGACATTCTCTCAAATTTAATTTTAAAAATTGAACATAAAGAAAATAAGGTTTTCCAGTTGAAATGTTGAAAGGTTTTCTAATTGAAAAATACCTTAAACCAAAATAATAAAAAATATTTACATTAAATATTAAATCTTTGTTTCCATTGTTTTAAAATTGTAATTTTGTCTATATATACAAGAAATAAACATTTATATTATTCTTTTAACTGTATACAACCATCGTTTATTTTTGCTCTAATCTAACTAAATAAACAAACACAACACTGTTAAATGAAATAAAGTTTAAAATTAAAATGTGAGGTAAATAGGTACTCATATAGAACAGTATCAAGGAAAGAAAAAAAAAACTTTTATTTACTTGTTCCACTAATATTACTGTCTGTTAGTAATAAAATATAATATTTTCAATCTCTAACCCTTATTCTTTTTAAATGTCATTATAATTTCATAAAGGTAAATTAAATCTGAGAGTATTTAGTTGAATCTTCATGACTTGATCTGTATCAGTTACTCTTAATATAATCTTTAAAATTAATGAAAAACATAAGTATTTTTTTTTTATCGGATAATGTGAGGAAGTATCGATGGTGTTTATAATATCATTATCGGTGATGTATTGTGATGAAAATAAAATTAATGTTATTATTCCATAAGAGCTATTGTAAAATGAATATTTGTAATTGATAAACGATACATTTTTATAGTTATTACATATAAACATATAATTATATTTTGTGTTTTTTAAATTACAAAAAAATTTACAATAGAGATTATATGTAGTAATATAGACAGTAGTTATAAATAGTATTCTAAAGTTTTGTGTTTCAAAAATTCTTAATTATTTTCGAAGTTAATTTATTGTCAGGTTGAAAAATTGCCAGGTTTAAACAAAGAAACCGGAATTTTCTATGTTTTTCGAGGATATTTCCTAATTTTGAAGTCATAAATAGCACATGAAAACATAAGGGTACTAAATATAAAATCTGACATAATTTACAAATTCTAGGTCCATGTCCACGAAAATCCGTTTATTGTCCTACTGTGGGGTGGGGCGAGGTGGAAGGGGAGAGTATGCAAGACCAGTACAACAAAGATGCATGCTGAAAATCCCAGCCGGCTGGTTCCCAAGAGACAAGTGCGTCTTGCATCCAGGCTGTAAAACGCATTTGTATCATTGGTGTGAAAACTTGTATCTTTGATTACGCCGTCTAATGTTCAAGATGCATGCATCTTCAGTGTGAAAGGGGCCTAAGAAGCAACAAGGAAACAGTCATTCCTTCAAAGATTATCATAGACAACAGTTATCATAAACAACTTTGTAGTAGTGCATTCTATCAGCTTCAATTTGAGCTGTGATAGAGAGAGCGAGCTTTTAACATTTAATAGTTCAAGAGTCATTTAACATTTAATAGTAAATGTTCATTCAAAAATCAAGAAGTTTTTTTTAATCATAAGAAATTAACATTTTGGGATTTTATTTTAGCTAATATCATGTATACTGTTAAAACAAATATAATTATTATAAATTACTCATAGAAACAGCAGTTTCTATGATATTTACTCAAATAAAACCCCAAAATGGTAATTTATAGTGTTTTAAAAAACATATAGATTTTACTGACATGTATAAATATATAATATCATGGGAACCCACATGTCCCTCATCTATGATATACCATATTATGCACATGTTACATTTAGAAAACTATCTTAACTTTCCGTCAAGCTTGAGTGCTCACTCGAGTCTCTTTGGCAATTCTCAGTCTCTTATTATCATCCCATATTTCTCCTTTAGATAGTAATTTTTTTTTTTCAATATTTATAATTAACCATTTTTTATCATTATTTACAATGTAAAATGGTGAATTTTCTAAAATAAATCAAATTAAAGGTACTTTAGAGGAAGAAATTTTGAAAAATCGGCATTTAAGCTATGGTAGAAAACATCAATGAGGAAAATACCTACCTTATATTAAAAACCACTTAATTGTAAATTGGCAGTTTAAGATATCCAGTGCCATTATCAGCAAGTAGGCACAAAATGGCAAAGAATACAGCAATTGGCATTTGAGACAATAGCCAATGGTAATGTTTTCTTCTCATACGAGACCAAACTTAGTCTGTACATACTTTAACATTTTTGTACAATTTCAAATAATATGCATAATACAAACTAAAACAAGAAACTAAAAATTCTCTGTAAACAAAAATATGACAACTCCTAGCCAAATTGATTTATAAAAACAAACTTAAACTAATATAATAAAGATTAAAGACCAATTAAGGAAGTGAAACTTAGTGTGTACATTTTATTTGATATTGAATGTTATCATATCAACACATTAGTGACTTTTATATGCAACTGGTTAATCAATTACATAAAAATGTTAGATTCTTTTTAAACAACTTTTAAAATGTTTTTTATTAATATTTACATTTTAAGACATAATAATGGTTTATTAACTTTTGAAAGAGACAAGGCCTACCGGAAAGGTGCTGCCATGGTGGTTGTTGGCATGTACAATACTTCAGTCTATTTAATTTCTCAAAACCTTAATTTCAGATTATTGACTGGGTCAGTATTTCTTTATTCAAGTAGCTATACATTTATTCTTGGGTGAGAGGACCCCATTCCACATCTTAACACTTACTCTAAACCTAAGAGTTATTACACATGTAACAATTACATAATAAGACAGATATATTTCAGTTCTCTTAAATTATATCAGAAAAAAATTGGATTGTATTGTATTTAAAAAGAAAATAGGTTAATCAGAAACTAAAAGAAAATTTCATTAACTCTAACTAATAAGAACATACCATAATTATTGATGCAACATGAGCAGTAATTATAGCATAAACACCACCAGATGCTCCTGCTAAATACACCTTAGGATCAGTGATTGAAGTACTAAGGGATCCAGCCACTACTCCAGACACATAAACTATAAGAACACGCCACCAACCATGAACCATTTCAAGCGGAACACCAAGTAAAATCTGCACAACCACATTTACAACCAAATGAAAAGTCCTAAAAAACAAGTAAAATGGATTCATTAACTTAAATTATGTTGATTTTTATTTAACTGAAAACCATAATATAAAAGAATAAACTTTTCAAAAGTAATCTTTAATTATTTATGTTAACAATTAACACCTTCCTTAAAATAATTAATTTTATTACTAATCATATGTCATACATTTTTTAACCACAATTTTGGTTTTTTAATATTTCAGTCTATGGATTGCAATAATGCTTGTTGAATTTAGGCTATTTTCAGAGAGTTGAAAACATATATTCATTCACAGCGGTTTGTGCAATGCTTTAGCATTAATATACAAAATTTATGTCCAGAATATATATATATATATATATATATATATATATATATATATATATATATATATATATATATATATTTAAACATAACCATTTAATTGGGAATAAGGTCACTTATTAATGATTTTATAATGTTGACATTTTATTTTATAAGATGACTAATGTATATATATTTTAAGTAGTTGATATTTATTTATATTATTAACAATTTTAAAGTTAGTTCCAGGATATATATATATATATATATATATATATATATATATATATATATATATATATATATATAATGTGTGTGTGGATATGTGCGTATAAGTATGTATTTAATGTTAATTAGTTTGGATACATTAATTTATAACCAAGAGATGTTATACAAGCTGTTTTTGTTGTTCATAGATATATTTTCTTGATGCTGTTATATTTATCATAGATGCATTTTTCAATTACTTTATATAAAATAGGTGCAATTTTCATTGTTTAGTATTTAATAATTTGTCTTCGGGCTCAGGACCGGGGTGGAAAGACGCTTAGCGATCCAGTAGCTTAATATATGTGCTGGTGGACGGTGCTGAGACTGTCGGTGTGTCCTTGGCCTGAGGTATAGAAGCTCGATTTTTAAAAGTAGGTTAAAATTTTGAAATAATTGTTATTAGAAACATATGGAAGCATAATGGAGTACCGATTGAGCTATTTGTTGTTCTAGCTTTGAAGAGGATCCCATTGTTAACTTATAAAAAGAAAAATACCAGGATCGAAAAAATAAGTGACCTTATTCCCAATTAAATGGTTATGTTTAAATTTAATACTCAAAGGTCGATTAAAGGAAAGTTGTAAATATATATATCAACATAATTGTAAATTAAAAAAAAAAATTAAATACTAATATTCTCAAAATAAAAAAAAATTATAAGATGAAATTAATACACTTTTTTTTCTGAATATAATGTTAATGGCAGACTATTTTCCTAAAATATTTTAGAACTAAAAGTTGAATTTTTATTTTAATGGTTCTTCAAATATTGTGACTTTCCTAAAATCAGGTATTTTTATTAGAACATTAGAAAGAAGATCCATTAAAAATTCAAACATTTCATAAAACAGTTTTAATTGTGTTGTAATAACTAGCTAAAATTTGAACACAGAGACTTAATTGGTTTTTTAGTTCAAAATTTTCAAATATAGCTTAAATTAAATATAAAATCAAATTTTAGCATAACAGCTGAAGATATTTACAGATTTTGTCTTCATAATAGGCATACAATTATTCTTAGTAACAAAAGAAGAAATTAAATCTAATAGCATGAAATTACAGAAAGATATGGTAGTTACATATGAACACCCAATACAAGGCCATATCATAGATGTGTACCATTAAGTCAGCAAACACAGATCAGATGTTACGTGTACTCGAAATAAAAAAAGTTACTTATTGCAGCACTTCCTAGTCCTTCTAGGCCATTGAGTATTTTCATTTGAAAAAAAAAGGACTTGCATCAATGATAGTACATAGTGAATAGGGCAAGGCAAATAGATGAAACAGCAGAAATAAACAATGACCTTTTTATTCATTTTCTTCCTCCCTTAGAGATTCCAAGATTCTCTTTCAAAGTCCCTAAAAATGACATCAATAAGGTACTACGGAAACTTAGGCCAATAGTATTCATGACTGCTACTTATATTGTGCTTTTCTTGTTTATCGTAACAAAGTTATTTTTCACTAGAGATCAAAAAGTAGTTCGCATTTCACACTAGTGGAATTATTTTATTGAAAAGATATTAAATTTATCAAAAACTAATTCTTTTGGAAGATTTTGTGATTCCCTGATTCTTACATTGCAGTCCCTAATCAAAACAATATTCCTATGTATATCAAATAAATTTCTAATATATGCAATATCATCTTTCTAATTTTCAATAGTAATATAAACCAGAAGAATACAAAAACTTATATTATTTTTTTGATAGACAGATTAATATTTTTCACTGTTTGAAAACTAAAGCCTTCTGAAATTAAACACAATTTAATTCCAAACACACTACCATCTCTAGCTCTACCATATCTAGCCTCTTTTGAAGCATTGACGGGCTCCTACAACAAAATCTGTGTACTTTTTATGAGGACTTCTTAAGAGCAGCTGTAAAATAACAATATATATAACACACTATGTCTTTTCTTTTTTTTTTATTAAGATTACAAAGAATATAAGAATAATACTTTGTATAAAAGTAATATTATATATATTTGCTATAATAAAATCTCAGTGATGGAATTGTAATCACACATTACTACAAAAAAAAAAAAAAAGATTTTTTTCTAAAAACTATGAATTTTTGAAGGATAATCCTTTTGAGATATTTCAGAAAGAAAATACCTGATTTTAGAAAATCACAATATTTAAAGACCTACAACAGAAAAGAAAAGATGCAATTCTCAGGCCTGAAACAATTTAACCCTTTGACTGTGGATGGGATACATGCGTTCCCATTAAGAGTTGGGACACTGGTGCTGATGGGATACATGCCTTCCTAGTAGTGAGTTGGGTTACAGGTGCGGGCAGGAAATATGTCTTCCCGTTTTGGCAGTCGCCACTGAAACAGGTAGGGGGCAAGTCCTGCTTTCACCATTTGACTTGTGTCTGAATGCGTCGGTTCATTCATTAGTCCCCTTTTTCTGAATCAGTGTAATCGTTCAGGATTTTGACCATTTGGAAGCTATCAGTTGCAGATTTATTCTAAACCCAAGATATGTCCTTTCTCTGTTATTTGTGTCATATCCATGATCTTATTTATATTTTATTTAAATGTTTTATACATCAAATAAATGTTAATGAGTTAATTTTATAATTTTTGTTATATTTTTTTTTAATTTTGGTTTTGACTGAATACTGATTTTGGCACACGTGAATTTCTGTCTACTAAACAAATAAATGTAAGTTTCCTACATTTTATATATGTGTATATATATATAAATATATATACATACATATATATATATATATATATATATATATATATATATATATATATATATATATATATATATATATATATATATATATATATATAGTAATAAATAATGTAAAAATATACAAAAATTAAAATGTTAATAGTAAAAATTAATAAATGTAAAAATATACAGAATTAAAATGAAACTTAAATTGTTTTAACATTTTTCCATCCACCTAAAAACAATATATATATTTCATATAATATAAAAGTGTTTGAAACTCAAATTAAATGTAAGTTCAATAATAAAAATGTAGTAAAAAGTTTATATTTTCAAAATAAAACCCTTCCCTTTCAAAAATAAAAATTTAAAGATAAATTAAGACTCACTTTTAATTTTCCTTCTGGATATACAGAATGTCAACTAGTCGGGAATTTCAGAAAAATCAATAATGTGTCAAGAGATTTCATATGGTCAGGAAAAATTAAGAATTAGTAGGAAATTCACAGTAAATTATATGAAAATTGGGAAAATCATCATCATTTTTCATTTTTAATAACTACTTTCAGTTCGAATGATAAGATAATTAATTTTGGCAGTTAACAGGATAATACAGAAGTCTTGTTAGACAGTTTAGCAGAACAGAAACAGATTATCTCTTTTAACACCATGGGGATTATCTTTTTTTAGTTGTATTTTTCCAGAAAATAATATAATTTTGCATTGTAATCAAAGGAGGGTCATTGGAGGAGGTTAAGAATCCCTAGGACACAATAATCAACACGAAGCACACATACACACACACACACACACACACACACACACACACACATACACACACACACACACTTGATTATTTGGGCAGAGACCTCGAAACATGTATTTCCATTGAAAATTCAGATAGAAAATTTTCAAGATCGCAATAGTTTCATTTACTATATATTTCATACATAGGTAAGTGAAAGTAAAAAGTTTGATAATGGCAAAATCATACATAACACAAACTTTATGGTAACTAACTAAAGGAAAATAAATTTATTAATACTATTCTCTTTCTTTTCCTCATCAAGTTGTAGTTAGATCATAAAACAGAAAAATAAAAATAAAGTTGGTAAGTCAAAAAATGTTAGATAACTGTAACAATAATGGTACTGATACTGATAAAAATAGGGTGATCAAGTCCAATTTTGCATTATATCACTATACTTATATCGTGGCTGAACAATATAAGTTAATCTAAATGTTTGCATGGATCCATGTTTTTTAATCTAGGAAAGGTAAAATATTATTGTTGGAAGAACAATATAAGGTACTCAAAATGTCTGTAGCAGTAACTCACCCTCAAACCTTACATATGGGTTAGCAAAACTAGATAAAAAAATACAAGGTAGGTATTCATATTTTTGCAGCTAAGTAATGCATTTCAACATTCCAACCTCAATATCTTTTTGAAATCATACTAGCTTCGCAATTTTGGGTATATTGTTGGAAATATGGAATGTTTTAAACAAATATTTTTTTTTTTTTTTTTATTATTAAAACACTTTATTCAGAAATATTACAATTTGTCACAGTTAAGGACACTTATAATAGAGTTCAGAGATTGCATTCATACCGTATATACAAAAATATAAATAAATAAAGTAATAACAAAAGAATAAGAAGAAAGAACAAAAGAGTAAAGAAAAAAAAATAATATATATACACATAAGTAAATAAAAATAGAAATAAAAGTAAAACAAACACC